CCACTGTCCCCGATGAATTCATGGTGTTGCTTTCGCAGCGCCGCAGATGGATCAACTCGACCATTCACAACCTGATGGAGCTCGTTCTTGTGCGCGATCTTTGCGGTACCTTTTGTTTCAGTATGCAGTTCATTGTCGGTATCGAGCTGATTGGTACCCTTGTGTTGCCTGCCGCCATTGCCTTTACTTTCTATGTTGGTGAGTAGCCACCAACCCCAGTTTTTCTTCCTTTCTTGACCAACTGAATGCTAATGTCCGATACCTAGTCATTATCTCAATCATCAACTCCCCGCCCCAAATCATTCCCCTCGTCCTTCTTGGTCTCATCCTCGGTCTCCCAGCCATCCTCGTCGTCATCACAGCTCACAGCTGGTCCTACATCATCTGGATGTTTATCTACTTGCTCTCCCTGCCCGTGTGGAACTTTGTTCTGCCTACGTACGCCTTCTGGAAGTTTGACGATTTCTCATGGGGCGACACGCGCAAGACGGCCGGCGAGAAATCAAGCAAGGGTGGCCACGGAGAAGCCGAGGGAGAGTTTGATAGCAGCATGATCACCATGAAGCGCTGGGCCGAGTTTGAGCGCGACAGGCGCGTCCGCAGCACGTACTGGGCCGGCTCGAGGGACAATGTCATATCCGGGGTAGGGGGTAGTAATGGGTGGGGAAGCAGCCAGCCGAGAGGCCATGAGCAGGGGAGACACTTTGATGACTACTTTTCGGACGCTTAAGTTTTGATATGGTGTTGCTGTGTAGGGATGCCTTTGTTTTAAAGTATTACTGTTGTAGGGTAGGTAGGGTCTTTGTCCGGAGGTCAGGTGTTTGTTGGAAAAGAAGGGATCCGATTATCGAACCTGCCGCCCTCGGTTTCTTTTCATCACGTTCATCATGGACAAGGGCGATATTAATGTGGTAGTTTTGGTTGATCGGTTGGCGGGTGGGTTTTTTTCTGTTGATAGGATTAACTCTTAGAGATTATTATGTGGAAAAGATTTATTTTTCTTGGCATACATTCGTGATCGGATACCATCCCTTCAAGACGTTCATCTATCCAGTCACAATAACCGCTCATGAACTTCGCCGTACTGCATCACTAAGGAAGTAAGCACGAGCACAAAAAAGCGCCACAGTAGGCTGACTACCATGTATGTTTTCCCATATTAAATGTAGCTATCCGAAGGCAGACAGGGGGCAGCTACTATCTAGACAGTACCTCTGTTCTGGTAAATTTGCATCGATGTTTGGGAGGGCAGAGCAGTTTAGGCCAGGCGAACAATGGGTCAATTCTCCCTTTGACTTTTATTAGCCTGTTGGAAGTGGTTGCCAGTAAAAGAGGGGGTCACATCATGAAGTGAGGGAGGGTGTAGTGTAGACAGTCTTTGTCAGATATCTGGAACAGAGTATTGGATGACCTGATCGACCAACTGACTAACTGACGACGCCATTTCTTGCGTAACCTCCAGCGAGGAAACCCAGGTAATAATATTGGCGCGCCGGGGGGGGGGGGGGGGGGGGGGGAGGGGGGAGGCGACAAGGGTACAAAAGGCAAGGAGAAAGGAGATGGAGGGAAGGGTGTGCGAATATGCGAATGGCGTGGTAAGCGGCGACGGTCTGCATAACGGGCAGATATAGGTGTAGGATACGCATGGTTTTTGTGATATATACTTCAGCCATGAGAACGCGTCTCTATCTCAAACTTGAGCGCTCTAACCTTTTATCCCGGGCGAGTATGAAACCAGGAATTGAGACGTTTTGACAAACTCAAAAAGCCAATTTTTGGCAGGTTATAGTTACTTTCCATCGAGATCAGCGACTTGGGAAACATGATCTTTCATGCGCCGAGGCCTTCAGTTGCTGTAAAATCCCAGAAATCCGTATTCCCCGGCTTTTTTGGTGTCGTGTGTAGGAGCAGGCGGACCCCCGCGCCTGGTGACACTTTGCTTGCCCTCGCCTATATGATCTGATCTGATTTGACACCAGTACACCAAGATATAGTTCTATGCTATTGTATGCATCGAGCGGCATGGGCAGCCTGATGGCGTAGCAAACGGACGGCTCGTCGCTAGGTGCGGGTTGTTAAGTGTTGAAGTAATCACAAGATGTCATGCACGGTCACCGCAGCCCGGGAGGGCAGGTCGAAAATTGAAAGTAAAGAGCCGGGAGAGGGGACGACGGCCGACGACGATATGGTGACTGACGGGCGGGAGTTTGGCCAGTGAAAGCAATCATTCAATTATGTAACCTGCTTTACTGTGTAGCCTCTGCCCCGTTCCCCACACTAACGGAGTCCCTCCATCCTTCCTTCCATTTTCCGATGATTCGGAACTTGTCTAGTACAGTTCACCCCTAGAAAGTTCGTTAGCTCGGTACTTACAGGGGTTTTTGACAGGGGAATGACAAGGGGGGTTACAGGGAATAAAACCAATAGAAATGCACATGTGGAACCCAGAGATTTTGAACAGGGAGAAAAGAGTTACGGAGAATCATTACATTTACCATACTAAAACCAGGGTAATCCGAATACCATTTCGTAGCCGATACATCCCTTAATATTAAATATACCCTCCCTTCGCCTCAATAACTACCTAAATTCTTCTAGGCATCGAATACACTAATTATAGAAGGTAGTTTTATAGAACGGTTTCCTAAACTTATAATATAATAAACTTAAAGCTATTCCCAATCGGCCGTACTAGATATTTACGCTTAATCTACTTCTTTATCCAACTCTAAACGTATTCAATAGGGTTGAGGTCAGGTGAGTACGGTAGCTATAGGATAATAGTTGTACTAATAAAAGTCTAAACTATAAATACCCGTATTGACTTTAAATTGTAGGCGGGGGTATTATTTTACTAAATTATGCAATTCGGATTCTACTACTAAAATTGTAATAAAAAAAGAAGGATATATTATTAATAAAATATATTCTTAATCCTCCCCCATTTCTTATCCTAAATAATAAAAGTACTTTTTTAGTTACTTATAAAGTAAGCCCAAAACATCTAGCTATATACTTTCTATTTAGCCTTAATAAAGTCTTCTATTTTCTTATCTTTAAAGAGGGTAATAAATTAATAACTTAAGTTAATACTAATTACCTATATCTTATTGCTCTAAATCCAAGACTCCTATTCGAATAGGGTAAGGTTAGTAAATTATAAAGCAAATTTAAAACGAAGGCGGCGGATTCTTTCGTCGAGGGGGATATACGTAGGTTATTCTACATAGTGGACACCTTATTACTCTATAGTTACTTAAATTAAGTGTAATTTATAAGGGGCGAGTTTAGGAATATATTTTTACAATTTGTACTAAAATAAGAACCTTTTCAATTTTATTAGGGTATTTATATATTAAAAAAGAATTATAACCGTTTCTACTAGAATTCGAAGAGGTCTACCGCCTTAATAATATCGAGGGATAATTTTGTAAAAGCACGTATATTACACTTATCTATCCAAATATTAGTATTTCAATACGAATAATCTCCTTATTAAAAAGTATATATTTACTTTATAGTAAGGTTGAAGCACGTAGTAATATCCTTATATTCTATTTTGGCGTATGTGCGCAATACTTTATATATAACGTACTCCTCGTATATAGTAGGTACTAATTTCCTTCTACCGTTAGGGGATAGCTGTAATATAAAAGATAATTTAGTAGTATTAATCGATAATTATAATTAATTAATACTTATACTTAATAATAAGGAGGACAATGGTTTTTATAATAGTAATAAAGGTAGTACGCAATTGTAATAGGGCAATTAATAAAGTATTTGCAATATAGTAGGATTTTAAAAGCTGGGCGAGGATAATTTTAAACGAGGTTATTAATTTAATAATAATAATTAGTAATAAATAACGTATAATAATAATCCAATTAATTAAAGAGGGGTAATAAATTAACTAGTATTAATAGTATAGTACGCTCTAAATACCTCGCCCTACGTAGGGTTGAATAAGAGAATTTATACGTTATATAGTAAGCTTACTATATTATTGCTATTAGTACTGTATTCGCTATAACCGCAATCGAAATTACTAGTATAAATAAAGCTCTCCTTATTGTTGTATTTAATATTATTATCCTTATCTTAGTATTAAAACTTTTAAGGGGGGTTAATAATCTAAGGGAATTAACGGGGTACTAGGATAAAAGAGGGTTAGTAAGAGGGTTGTGTATAAAAAAATAGATTTGAAAGAGAGAGGGCGGGAGAGGGTTATATATAATTAACTAGTTGTTTATTCTTTTTTGGCGTGCATGGGCTAGAAGGTGGTAGGTGCGCGAAGTAAATATATACTTTTAGAGTTTTAAATTTCGTCGATTCTAATCGAAATTTAGTATTTATATTACTTTTTAAATCCATTTGGGTAATCTAGGTGATCTGTGTACTTCTAATTAGAATTATAATTTTTAGAAAAATCGTTAATTTACTGGCTATTTTAGCGAGCAATCTTAAAATTTAATTGGTTAAATAAACTTAAGTACTTTGTAAATATATTATAATTTTACTGATTATAGAAGGTAATAAGTAGTAATTTAAGTGATTTTAGTGCCCCGGCTGGCGAAATAAAGGGTGTGTGTGTGAGAGCTTCTGTATTATTTATTAACTCTTTCTCACTTTAAAATTAAACGATTTTAGCCAATTAGAGGCCGTAGATAGATGTGTCCGAGCTTGCAACCCCCCCTGTTGAATGATGTGGGGCGGGTAACACGCTAACAAACTTTCCAGCATTGATCTGTACGTATAGTAGGTAGAGGTATTTAGGTACTACAGTGGTGTCGTATCGAGAGAACGGGCGGTGCACATGATAAGCCGTCGGGATGCCGCAGGTGATTTCCTGATATAGTACGCAGCAGTTGCTTCTGTTAGTGAAGTCGATACATCTGCGGATAGATTTTTTTTTTTTTTTTTTTTTTTTTTTTTTTTAACAGTTAGTTCACTGGCAAAGAAGACCTCGAAGCTTTGGGTACCAGGATGACCTGGGTCAACTGACAACATCCTGAAATGGGTCTGTTATCCCACCTCGCGAGCCCGCATTCTCACGCACTGCTTGTCATGTATACTTCGCATCGCATATTTACATTGGATGATCCAACTGCAACCCAAACCGCAGCGGCTTTCCCCATTTGATGATGAAACGAGATGGAGAGCCGAATCTGATTTCGACCTCCCGCTTGCCGCCACGCTACCTCTTTCCTCTTCTCACCTGGTTCAGTCACGACGACATGACTCCAAGATCCATGTGTACCCGACTCTCTGGATTCAAAGCTCACGAGGACCTTCTTGGACTTCTCTCAGGCCGGAATACCAGCTGCATCTATCTCGGATTCATGTTCGTGGTGTCACTGGACAGTTCAGGACGGGAAGAATGCCAAATCCCACTCGGTTTGCTTGTCAAGTGGGAGTGAAAGATATGTTTGTTTCATACTGTATAACTTTCATGACACACCTGACTGGCTGGGGAAGCTATGGTCGCTATGTTTGGTGAGGTTGGCTGCTCGTCTCTCTCTTCAGTTTCTCTTCAGGCTACCACTTGGTTGGCGGTCAGGTTAGAATTCTCTAAAGCATCGGATCCTCAACACATCTTTCGTTGATCTACCAAGCGGTTTCATGAAGACCCAAATACTCCTGCCCACAAGCGCCCTATCCGCTCGCCATCGAGAACTGCGTGGGCACAACTCGATTCGGAAACAAAAGAAGGCCTGTGAACGGTGGGTCCCGTCCCAGGTCGGGCAGGTCCATCTTGGTTACCTATCCGAGCCCAATCAAACATCAGACCTGCCATTCAGGTGCCCGTGTCTTCCCAGACTTGGGGTTCTCGAGCTTACCAGTGAGCCGGCGCCCGCTCATCGGCATCCAAAGCAGGGCACCGATGGTTCGAGACGTCCCGTCCAGTCCCAAAGCTTCACGGCGCCCATTGCGCATTCGTGCAGTGGCTTTCGCTCAGCAAAGGGACAAGGCCACACAGCCCGGCTTCCCAGAATGCCCGTCGGCTTGGGCCGTTCTTCGGCCGGCCACTAAGGTGAGAGGGCGGGGCACTGCAAGCCTGCACCACACCACTGCACCATGAGCACTACCTACTAAGCACTGCACCACTTCCACTCTGGCTGCTCTTTGTGTAGTGACCACCTGTACACCACCACCTTCCTTTCTGAACCGCCCGCACTGGCCGCTTGCCCGACAAAGAAACGAGTCCGGCAAGTCGGGTACGTAAGATGGGCACGCCTCTTCCATCAACCGAACAAGCAAGAGGCGTTGAAATCGATCCAAACGATCTTTTTTTTTTTTTTGGTCTTTCTGGGAAATCCATCCAGCTCAGTAGCAGGCTTCAGTCGGATTACAGAAGCGAAAGTCAACAAACCCACCTTCTCCGAGTTCCATCCCATCTCCGAACCCCGTTTCAGCCGCCGTTGCCCTTCTGCCCCCGATCCGGGCCCAACCAGCCGAGCCAACCCAGCCAAACAGCAGCTGAAGCTGAACTGGCACTGCAAAGTGAAGAGTAAAAGTGCGCGACTTCCATGAGTTCGACACATCAGGCCAATCCACTGTTCCCGTGCGTCTGCCCCTCAGTCGCGACCACGCCCGATGCGCCCCATATATTGACGACCCGTTCATAATAAATACCTTACTCTGAAGGACTCCCGCCCTTACCCACCAGCTGTCGCTATGCGCGACACAAATATGCGGAACGGTAACCGACCACAAGTATCCCAGGGTAGTCACGGTACTGGCGCTCTTACCGACATGCCCAGCGGAAACTCGGCCGTCGCCGGGTCCAGCTGGCCGACCATCATCCCCATGTCCACCATAGCAGGCGAGGATGGGGTAATAAACTACCAGGTGGAGAACCATCAAGTAGTGATCGGCCAACCACTTAATCACTTTTCTGAGAGCGGTAGCGAGTACGAAGACGTCGAGGACGAGGAGCACCAACACGAAGACGGCCAAGGCGAACAAGAAGTGGAAGAGCACGACGACGACACTGACGGACATGAAAGTTTGTTCTATGGTCACCACTACCTGCATACTGATCAAATGTTGAGCCACCATCCGCAGCCCTCCTTCTACCTTGGCCTGGACGGTTATCTCTCCGACGACGTCGACATGTCCGACGATGCGGGTGCTCCCTTGGTGAACTACTTACAAGTGGCCAACTTGCTCACTAACGACATGGATACCGATGTTTCAGACCTGGGTGGCGAGCATGGCTCTCCATATGGGTTGAGCATGGCGCCCGACCATGAGGATAGCATTAGCATGACCTCCTCCCTATCAGACGAAGAGCAGTTCTCACAGTACCCTCCAGCACCTTTCACGCCCTTCACCCTGGACTTGGTCAACCAGATGCTGGCCACAACTGGGCAAGGTTGGCTGCCTACGACGACCGCGTCACAGGTGATATCCGGCATCATCAACACGGTGCATCCCCAAGTTCCGCCTACAACGTTGCTTGATACCTTTCCTCACCCAGCTCACGGTCCCAATCTTCATAGCATGACTAGTCTTGGTCCAAGCAACTACTGCCTCACCCAACTGTTGTATGACTGGGCTCGTCCAGATCATCGAGGACAAGGAGTACATTTACCTAGGGGCCCCTATCCATGGCCCAGCAGAATTGCGGACCTCGCTGCCCAGAAGCTCTCACGGATACGCTACAAAGACCTTTCTGGGGATCAATGCGATTTTCAAGGGGTGAACTGGGAAGAACTAGGGGTAACTAGGCAGGAGGCACGGCAACGTAGACTCCTGACCTACAGGAACTACGTCAACGTGTCGGAGTCTGACAAGTGGGATGTGAGTCGAACAAGCCTTTGCAATCTGCCCCTATTTAAACATGTATATTTACCAGTGTCACAGGAAAATTGTCCCGATGTTAGCTTACCTTGCACCGATAGTTTCTTCAAGTTCCGGCGTATGGATTTCAAGTCCAACATCAACTTGTCGCACTTTCAACTACGAAACATATTGGCCACCACCTCCCGTACTAAGATCTTTTATCCCGGCAGCGGCGCTGTACACCAGTTCAACCCAGTCTCGGGGAAGACACGAGTAGTTATGAAGCTCGGCGATGCCCAGGGCTCACATGTATCTACTATGGCCGCCGGTCGCGGCGTCCTCATAGCGGGTAGCTTCAATGGAGAGTACACACTTCGCCATATGGACTCTGACGAGCCAGAGTCATCAGCCTGCCACGAGGGTATCATCACCAGCAATCAAAGTGGCATTACAAATCATGCCCAAGTCTATCAAGACCGGAATTCCGACAGACCTCTGGCTGGCTTTGCATCGAACGACGCCATCTTCCGCGTCTTGGATATCACTACCGAGAAATGGCTTTTTCACGAAGTTTACGATTTCCCGCTGAATTGCACCGCGGTCTCTCCTGACCGTCGCTTGCGTGTCGCTGTTGGAGACCATAAGAACGTCTTCATCACCACGACCGAGTCGACGCTGGGAGGTGGGAAACCCCAAGTCCTTCAAGAGCTCTCCGGTCATCGTGACCACGGCTTCTCCTGCGCCTGGGCGGACGATGGATGGACAGTAGCCACAGGTTTTCAGGACAAAGCAATCACGATTTGGGACGCCCGCCGTTGGACAGACAGCAACGGGTCCTCGACACCACTATGCACCATACGTGCTGAGATGGCCGGAGTCCGCAACTTGCAATTCTCGCCGATCGGCAGCGGCAAGCGTGTCCTCGTCGCAGCCGAGGAAGCCGACTACATCAACATCATCGATGCACAGACCTTCCGTTCCAAGCAAACAGTCGACGTCTTTGCCGAGATCGGCGGTGTCTCATTCACAAACAGCGGGCAGGACCTCACGGTGCTGTGCTACGATCCGACACGAGGAGGCCTTCTGCAGTTGGAGCGGTGCGGAATGAGTCAGATGATGACAGGGGACTTCGACGAGCGAGGCTTGGATTATCGATATTATGGGCGGCACATGGGAGAAAGGGGTGACTCTGACTGGCTACAATCTTCTTTCACCGAGGAGAAGCGCATCAAGGATAGCGTAGTTTGGAGAAGTCAAAGACGCGCGGCGCTAGCTGATCTAGGGCCTTTTTGAGCTTGATGGAAACCCCTCCCGCAATGGGCGACAAAGGCATATGCCTGGGGCAATTCGCGGAGTGCTACTGTATTTCTGGGAGGGGCTGACGAGAGACGAGGAAACAAAACGAACACCATGGCCAACAATGGGCTGTGTGTACCCTCCGAAATGGGCTTGAAGGGTCGTTTCGCGCCAGAAAAAACAAATTTCGTCTCGCACGACAACGGTAAATATACGTTCATCCAACAATATGGAAGCCACCGCCTGGAGAGCATCATTATAGGAGGTCGAGCTTCACGTCAAAGATCAGTTAGTGTGGAGCACTAGGGTGATACCTGGCTCACGAAGCCGCTGTCTTCACAAGCTGGAACGGAATGTCTTGAAAGCAGCAACTCTCGGTACATATTTCGCAGGGAGGATCATTAGTAGGTCTTAAATGAACGACCTTCGTGAACAGTTCTATATATTTACCCTCAGACGCACCCCGCTGTCTCAAATACGAGGCGTTATCTTTATTAAGCGACCCACAAATGGCGATGAGGATCGGATTTGCGGCATTTGGGATTCTTTCGAAGGATACGCGAAGGTGTTTTCAGAAAGTCAGGAAGTTTCCAAAGTCAAGCACAACGGGTCATCTTCGTTAGATCGTTCTTTCCCTGCTGAGGAATGGAAAGGACGAAGGAAAGGGTTACGAGGTGTTTCATGAAAGGGAAGAAACTCGACTCGTATATGAATCCTTACCACGGAAGCGAAGCTTGTCAATGTGTTATTTTTCATCAAGGATTCAGTTCAGTTCGATTGCATTCTTTTTTATTTTTTTAAGCGTTAACGATACCTCTATTTCCCTTTTTCGCTGGGCTGTTTTGCAGTTGGTTCGAGTTTCGCGGACAACATTTGTATCATTCTCTCTACCAGTCCTTTAAGGTTTTCATTCGTATCTTAGCGGGCAGCGGGTGGTAAAGTGAACTGAATTAAGTGCAATAGGTGTACATTTGGTAAAATCTACCTCCAGGTTCTTATTCACATCATCATCATTCTCATCACTCAAGTTAATTATGATCATCGAGCCGGAATATCTGCAGTTCCTGCTTTGGATACCATCATGTCCAACGGGAACGAGCCTGTACCTTCCTCGTTGAGAAGTTAGTTCGATTGCTTCGGATTTATCAACCACAATGAACCTACCAGAAACACACCTGCGTGCCTGCGTATCTCTGACTCCTGCGATTGCGGGTGTGATTCCGTTGTAATTGTTCTTAGTACAAAAAGGAATTATAAAAAGAAAAAAAAGAAAAAAAAACAAAACAAAAATTTTCATAAAAAAAAAATTAATTAAAAACAGGGAAAGAAAGAAAAGTTATATAAACGATTTTGGGACAATACTAATCATACTAAAAATCCAGATTGTCCCCAAATAGGTAGAAACAAAAGAAGTTTATTCAGGTTGGTTCCGTGTACTGTCTCAAGAGCTCGACTTGTCACCTCCTCGCCATGCGCATGTTACTTGTGAGCTGGAAGTAAAGAAGGCATCACATTAAAATCCACTACGTAGTCAAGAATCCTGTTCCTCCCCAATAGCGGCGGGACATACTAAAAGGTAAGACGGTATTTTTAGACTGCTTATGTACTACTCTAGTGCTTTCCAATCATTGGGGGATTTCTTTTTTTCTTATTATCTTCTTTATAAGATCAAGTTATTTGAATCTCGGTATAGTTATAAACCCTCTCGTCCTTCTTCTTCTTCTTCTTCCTCTATCCCAGACTCAAACTGTCTTTCTGTAATTTTTTCCTCTCTTTTCTGTAGCTCAGACTCCATCTTTGAATAGGTAGCTATGTACTTGTATGTACGCCTGCCTCTTGCTTCCTTCCTCCCTCTCTCCTAGTAGCAGACCCTAGTCTAGTAATGACAATAGAGCAAGGAGGCATTCGTTTCATGGAAAGCAACAAGGGAAAGAAGAAGATGCACATGAAGAAAAGGGGGGAAAGAGGCAGTCACATGCATTTTAACGTCCTAGCAACTCAACGACTAGTCTAGCTCTCCCTGGCTTGTTAATGGGAGAGCTGACAGAATCCCCAAATTTTTCAGTAGGTATGGTGTAGTATGTGATTGTTGGAGGTACTTTGAATGCTTATCAACATTGAAATGGTTTCTTTTTATGTATCGTCGGGCTGCCCATGTGGTTGTGGGTGGTGGTGGCACAGGTAGTGGTGGGCGAGAGTGAATTAAATCAATGTATCAACTGATCAGTACCCTGGATTTGGTGTATATGAGCGTAGCAAAAAGTATCAAGCTTATAGTATGCTATCCTTTTATCCATACCGATTATGTGTACCATCTAATGCTGATGTACTAATTAGCTAAGAACTCAAAGTATATTGGACAAAATTTAATCCTAGATTGTCACAACCCTTACAAGGATAGAATGAATGTATAGGTGCGGTTTAGAAACGTATTACAGTGTTCAATATGACATTGCATTCCAGAAGGAGTATACTGTAGACATTAACACGCTTTGAATATAGGACGAAACGAACCATGAAACAAAACAACAACCAGGGAAGTTGCTCTAGAATCTCGAGTTGATATACGAACTAGTTGTATTGGACACTAGAGCTAGATGTTTATATCCTGACAATACGTGAATATATTCCCCTCTTTACATGTACCCCTGAACACGTCACACAACATTGGATATCGATGTACAGATAGATACACACAGAGGGGGGGAAAAGAAGAAGAATAAAACAATTTAGACATAGACATAAGGAATCGCAACGAAGGTGTATCAAAATGATGAATACCAACCGACAACAGTAGCAGACATGATAAACACATGAGCAAAGAACATAACCTCGAGTATTACAAAAGAGACCAGCATTGTTGTGTGTGCGCATCCATCGCACCGCACAGCATCATCCGTGTGTATCGATTTCCTCAACAGCGATAACGAATGAGATTGTGTGCTTGCGCATGTGACAAGGCACAAGATGAATGAACACGATTTTCCGTGCATCAACATGACTGTATAATAAACTTGACACCCCTTGTCTGTGTCTCGAACAGAGAAAGAAGACATGTTGGTATATAGGTATGTAGGTATGTACGCCCAGCCAGCGAGTCAGCCCTGGAAAGGAAGCCCAAGGGGTGGAACATTTATCGTTGTCAAGTGTGCGTGTGTAAGTATGTGCGTGTTCTTTCCCCGGACTCTGATCTGCACATCTCCCGTTGTTGCGTTGGGGAGGCAAGGACAAGACGATCAGTCGTGACGATCATCTGCAACGCGGGGGATAGACAGGTCGTATGTAGATCCCAGGGTTGACTCGCTAAATGACAGATCGACCGGAGCTGAATGTGAATATATCTTGGACACACACACACAGGCACACAAGAGGTGAGAAACGATGACAAGTGAAGTGACAACGGTGATACAGGGAACGTATTATATATATATATATAATTGGAAAAGGGGCCCAAGAAAACCGATGAGTTGACTTCGACGTGCATGGTTTGAAAAAAGTATCCATTTATTTACCTCTCTCCCGCCCTCCTATTCCTCCAAAATCAAGACACAAATCCTGAAAGAGCAGAATAGGAGAATGGGAAAGAACATCCTCTATATCCAACCGTATCCAACAGCTTCATTTACGCAATCCTGATATCTTCTTCCGCTTTAGAGGGTGACACCGAAAATCTCACCGCAGCCCCAGTGCTGCTCGCAGTTGCAAGAACCAGGCTGCTTCCAGTGGTCATCGCTGAAGGAGAAGAAGACAACCTTCTTACCCATCTCCTGCTTGATGGCGGCAAGAGCGGTCTTCTGCTGCTCGCGACCGGGGCAAGCCTTGCCAATGCACTCACCGGCGGTGGGCCAACCAGTCTCCATGACGAAACCAGGCTTGTTGCAGACCTTCTCAACAATCGCGAGCTGGCCAGCGACGAAAGTACCGGCCTGCTCGGGGGCAGTGTTGGCGTCGAAGTAGGCGTGAGAGTTGCAAGCAACGACATCGATGACGTTGCAGATGTCGGTCATGTCCATGGACTGCCAAGCAGAGACGACATCAGTGGTAGTGTAAGGACCAGAGTAACCGGCGCTGCCGAGCTCAGACTTGACGCGGTTGATGAGGTCCCTGAGCTGGCCAACGGTGCAGAAGCCGTTGAAGAGAGCCTCGTTACCGACAACAACAAGGTCAACCATGTCGAAGCGGCCCCAGGACTTGATGGCGGCGATTTGCTCAGAGACATTAGGGGAGCCGTTTTCGCAGCCGGCAGTGCCGATGAAGACGCCGAGAATGAGACGGAGACCAGTGGCCTCAGCAGCGGCACCGACGCTGGGGAGAGTGTCGCAGTCAGTAGAGTAGACACGGAGGGTGGTGAAGCCAGCATTAGCGATGGCTTTGATGTCGGTCATGACGTCGGCAGCGCTCTTGCACTGGCCGTCCTGGGTGAAGGGAGTGTAGGTCATGGCCCACTTGTCACCCTTACCGCCGAGGTTGCCGGTGGGCGCGGTGGGCTGGGGAACCGCAGAAGAAGTGCTCGAGGGCTCCTGGGGAACCTCAGAGACGACAGGGACAGCGGAAGAGGTGCTCGAGGGCTCCTGGGGAGCCTCAGAGACAACAGGGGGAGCGATGGAGACAACGGGAGGAGCCACGGAAACAACGGGAGGAGCCACGGAGGTGGTGGGCACGACGGGAGCCTGGGTCGAGGTAACGGGAGGCTCAACGGCGGTGAAGGGGCAATAGACAACAACGTTGGTCTCGGTGATAGTGGTGACGACGGCGGGAGCAGAGTAGGTGCCGGGGTTGTAGGTCTCGACAACAGGGACCCTAACAGTGACGGGCTCGCTGTCGGTGACAGTGGTGGTAATGGGAGCAATGGTGTAGGTACCAGCGCTGGGGCAGACATAGGTGGTCAGCTCAACGACGCTGGTGACAACACCATTCTCGGCAGTCTTGGTGGTGGCAACCGGGCAGACAACGGTGGTGGCAGTCTCGACGACGGTGGTAACACCACCAAGAGTGTGGGTACCGCTAGGAACAACGGTGGAAGAGGCACCGCAGACGGTCTTGGTTTCGGTCAGGACCACAGTGGTGGCCGGGAAGGTGTAGGTGCCCGGAGTAGGGCAGGTCTGCTGGATCGGGGTGGGGACGGTGACGGGGCCCTGGGAGGTGGTGGTGGGGACCACAACAACCTCGGTAGTGCTAGGGACCGCAATCGAGGAGGTGCTAGGGATCGCAATCGAGGAGGTGCTAGGGATCGCAATCGAGGAGGTGCTAGGGACCACAATCGAGGAGGAGTTGGCGAAGACCAGTGAGGAGGAGAGGGTGGGCAAGGCCTCGCTGGTGGTGATGGCCGAGGAGGTGGCAGGCACGGCCGTGGAGGGAGGGGCGGGAGGAGTGTAGACTGTGCGACATGTTAGTTTTTCTGAGCAAAGAGACAGCTTCCAAGGTCAACGTACGGCCGGCAGGACCAGTGATGGTGGTCCAGATGGTGGTGCAGCCGGGGACACAGATCTCGCTCTCGTTGTGAACCCTCTTCTCGAACAAGGGCTGGTGGAGGTGACGGTGGTGAAGTCTGTTCGCGCTCGCGCCGCCGGCGAGGATGGCCGCGCTGGCCGCAACAAGTATTCCCTTCATATTGACCCTGGTCTTCTTTGCTTTGCTCCTTGTGATTTTTTGGGGGGGTTGTTGTCGGTGGTAATTAGGTGATTCGCTGAATGGTAATTCGTGCGATTGGCGTCTGATTAACGAATGCCCGCTAAAAGAGTGAAGCGGTGGTGTGGTGAAGAAAGAAAGAGTGTAAGATCGAAAGCGCAAAAAGAGGCTATCGATGTTGAATATCAACACGCACGATGGGCAGGTGAAGGAAGGGAAAGGGGAAGCAAAAGAAAAGATCGGGCCAGACGGGAGACATGGCAGTAATATTAGTACTCATTGCAGGACCGGGGAGGGTGGCAGTCGGTGGCAGCCACTTTTACTTGGTTCGTAGGTTCTGACTGGGCGCCATTCGTTCGTCCGTCACGGTCGCCATGGGACCCCTGAGCGCCATCCTGAGAGAGTTTGGTTCCTGGTGCGGCCCACAACTTGCACAAGGGCACATGAAGACCCATCCTCCCATCCCGAGCACTCGACTGCGACGACTTGGATGGCGTCCGCGAATAATCGAGCACGGCATCTGTTCGGCGGCCAGTCGGCCACAACCTCGATCCATCCTCCTCGCCCACCCCGTCCACCCCGTCCACTCCGTCCTCCCCGTCCTCCTCGTTTTCTTTCCGGTCCCTGGCCATGGCGGAGACGACCTTACCCTTCTCGGTCCCCCAATCATCCCTGTCGTCAGCCTGTCCGGCGAGTGGACGGTGAGCCCGCGCTTGGCGAGTGGTGGATGCGACTCTGACCCTTGGATGTGGACCTTCATTAGAGAATGAGAGCTGAGCCCGTCAGACCGGCAACACCTAGTCCCTGGACACCGTCTTTTTCTTCATGATCCTTCAGAGTTGCTTCCATCTTGCGGTTCTGTGCATGAAAAGGGTCTCGTGTCGAGATACGACCGGGTGAGGGGATGTGCGGGCGACTAAAAAGCCAATTCGACGGCAGGCCAATCACATCCATGGACCCGGCGATATAGACGAACACATTGTACATACAATACCAGAGAACCTGGAAGTACACTAGACAACCCTATGTGGAGCTGATAGGCCGCATCATGGGCAAACACGATAGTTGTACCTGGTGTCTCGTATCTGAAGGTGAAAACCGGGTGCGTGCAATCACAAGCGCCGTCTTCTTGAACCAATTTGGCTTTATTGATTTGGCGATGATCGGATCACGGGGATAGAGGGACGTCGAGTACATGCAACACAGGCCAAATATGAGCATGGCATCCTGCGAAATAACTGGGTGGATTGGCCGCGAGGGTCTGGAGCCAAGGTGTGTAGTGGTGGTGTTGGCAGATTGGCGAAGCTCGAGCGAGGGGGACTTTTCTGAGAAGGTGTGGGAAAGAGGGAGACGAAGGAAGAGTCGAGTGGAGGTCACGGTTGCAGTGACTGCAATGACAAAGAAAGGAAGGAGCCAGGAACACTCCATGCCAGCAGCGGACTGGAGGCACAGATTAAGCAGGTACGCCATACCTACCTAGGTAGGTGTACATTACACACAGACACGCGGGAAGGTACCTAGGTAGAGGTACGCGAGGTCCAACGCTACTTCCGCTGTGGTTTCTGGGTTCCACCAGGCACACTCCGCCCCTGTCAATTGCAGTGACATTAGGTTGTGACTACCTAGGTAGTGTACCTTGGTTACCTTAAGGTTGCTGTACCTACACTACAAGCCTGTCCAGCACTCCAGTCGCAAGTCGGAATAGGGGATCAAGGGATTCGCTGACCCGGTTGTTCGATGTGAGCCAGGAAGAGACGCGCCTTGGGAAATCAAATAAGCGATATTAGCAACGTTGCCCGTCGTGGCCAGTTGAAACAGCCACAGCTAGGTTAACACGCCCTGTTCCCGATCCTGGCTGCATTGAGATCTAGAAGAAGCAAAAGGGCACAGGCACTTCGTCTGCAGCAAGGGCCAACCTACCGTGTGTATGGACAAACCATCTTGCACCTCGAATCTCAAGCTTGTCACGCAGACTGACAAGTGATAACAAGACCAAGGAAATCTCGAGTGGTCTGAGGGGAGGGGGGTGTTCCCCAAACAGCCTCCCGCTTGACATCTCACATAGCGAGGCCAATTATCCGCTGATTTCCCTGTGGCGGACAGCCTAATATTGTTACTGACAAATACAGTGCAAGACTGCGTGCACTCAACCTAGTGTAGCCCCATCCTCATACGATGCAATCCGGGGACATTGCGACATGGAAGCCTTGTGAAACCAGGGAGCCAAAGCCAGAGATATCAAAAACCGAGGGAAAGTGGTTCCTGGGCAATGTGGGTCCTTCGGCGGATCTCTCGAGCTCTCCAAAACAGCGGGTGGATTCGTAGGTACCTGCATAAGAGCTGCGTGACTCCACTTGCGGGCATGCTGGGGTGATGCCATTGGTCAGCGGGCACCTGCTCTGATTGCATCTTTGGAGACAGGCCGACAGCAGGACTTTGGATTCTTTAGGGCGCACGACGTCGTTCAACAACTTCGGGAATAGCAAGTTCGATGAATTGCTGTGCCCGAAATTCTCTCGAGAAGTGTCATGCAATGCGAACTGTACGAGCGTTTTCAGGGTCCGGAGCCTCTTATCTTGACCTGTTCTTTTTTTTTTTTCCCTCTGGACCTTCCCCGGTGTTTCTCATCTCGCAACAACCAACTCGGATGTCTGGGCATCTCCAGAGCCGAGGCTGACCCCATGAAACCAAGCGACGAGTGAGTCTGGAGATGGATTATCGGCTATCAAGCCAAGGACTACCAAGAAAGTCGAGACTTCTCTGGAAGAATTGGGGTAAACGGGTACCTCTCCAACCTCCAAGAGCCGTTTAGTTAGCATGTTCTATTTTGGTGTCCATCCATGCCGTATGATGTGAAGTTTCGGTGTGTTGTGCTGACCTTGATGTCTCGGGAAGCTGGTTGGCGACTGGATGATCGTCATCCGACTGAAACAGCAAAGGGTTAGGGTTCTATGTGTATCCATCTTTAATGGGCCAAAAGAAAAGTCATCATCTGAGTTCGCGTGCAACCCGCAGGGCCACACACGGCCCATTGGCGCGCGGGAACGCCACACCCGCGTTAAGAGATTTTGAAACCGAACGTCGACGATCAAGTCAACGATTCGAGATCCGCAGTCTCAAAGCTGTCGACAAATCCATTGGGCTGCAAGTATGATGCGCCCATCCAGCCGCCAGCCATATGTCTGCTGGCAATGTCTCTCCCGCAAAGAGTCCGGGCAGCACATTGCCCTCAATACCCGTAAAGCCCGAGTCGCACCGCTGTCGTCACTAGCATCGTGGCCGATATCGTCAGCATCGATAGCACCACGGCCGACCCGACAATGGGACCGCACCCTTCGCCTCTTCCGCGAAAGGCGGCAAGGTCTGTCCACCTCCACGTCACTACTCGGCAGGAAGATACCAGAGATATCCAATGGGGCTCTGGAGGACTTCGCCTTGCCGTTGGAACCGGACTTGCAGTATCTTCAAGACAGTCAACCAAAGACAACGAAAAGATCTGCACAGCTATCCATTCGACAACGGTTGAAGCAGTGGGAAGCTGAGAATCCAGAACCCTTTCACTCTATCCCCTCGGATTTCGCACTTCCGGACCGGCCTATCAACGCATTTACATCAAAGCGATCCGAGCACATGCTCGAGATAGAGAATATTGACAATGACAATGCCACTGCTCAGGTCCATGATCAAGATCTGATCGACACTCAGGTCACCCCTCGAGTCCAAGCCGGTGATCTGGTGGAACTCAAGTCCGAGGATTGGAATATTGGCGTTCTCGCCGTTTGCTTGGGAAGCTTCAATGGCATCGATCATTTCTACGCAGTCACCGGCAAGTGGTTCGCCAGCAGCAACTTCAAATCCGGTTTTATCGTCAAGAACTTCATCACCAACTCTGCCGATCTGCAGCCAGTCATCGGTGCATTGCCTTCGACCGTGGGTGACATGTCCATCTTGGTCGAGCTCCAAAAACTCCGTGCAGGCCCGACTCGCGAGCACGGTGCCGGATTGATCACCAAAATGCTCGACTTTCAAAACACCTCTCGACAGATCTACCAAAACAACCTTGAACGGTTGAGCAACCCGCATCGGCATCTTCCTGAGGAAGAGCAGTTGATGACGCTGGGTGAGATTGCCGAGTTCCTTCTCCCTCCTAAGCTCAAGCAGTCATCCACCGGTTTCCCCCCAGCCGCTTTATACGCAGTCTACAACAACATCCGCACATTCTTCGATGATTTCTTCCACCCACTCGGCCAGGGGACTGCCGGCCCAAGCTCCATCATCTTTCACGTTGCCGCTAGGTCCGATATCGAGAACGTTGCTCGAGTTGAGAGAATGGTGCGCGACCACTACAGCCCCGAACTCCTGGATCGCAAGTCACGCAGGGAACATGACCGGCTGGAACCGGTCTTGAAGCAGGCTCGATTGGCTATCGACCACAGCCGGAAAATGCGCGAGTGGTCGAGCCACGGAATGCTCGGTCCCACCACCAGAGTCCTACCAGCCTCGACTTACTCCTGGTCTCAGGATGCTTTGACTGTTATCGGGGTTATTCACATGTGGGCAGCCTCGGATGTGTTTCCGCGCAGCTCAAAGTACCAGTGGATTGGTGCGGCCGTCTTGCGTGCCCTCGGGAGATACCAAGATGCCGACGTGCTTGACGCTACAGTGGGCTGGACCTTCCTGCAAGAAATCGGCTGGCTCATGCCCTGGGAAATCCATGCCCGTCATAGCCTGCGTCTTCCAGGCCTTCAGGTCAACCGGGCGGGCGGTTTACTCCCGAGCCCTGAGGAGCAACAGCCAGCTGAGCTTGCCGAAGACGTACTGGCCCCCCTCCGCCAGGATTTCTCCACCTCAACTGTGTACTGTATCGACGCTCCGAATGCTAAAGAGATCGATGATGGTGTCTCGCTGGAGAAAACAGACAAAGAGGGCGAGTACTGGATCCATGTACACATTGCCGACCCGACGTCAAGAATTAGACCGGACAGCTCGCTAGCCAAGCGGGCAGCTCTCATGACCCAAACCAGTTACCTCCCAGGGCATGTGGACAAGATGATTTCAGATGAAGCAGTTGTCGCCGAGTTCTCCTTGGCGCCTGGTCGGCCTTCTCTTACCTTTAGTGCAAGGCTCAACGAGGAAGGCACCCTGCTTGACCACAAGATCACCCCAGGAAGAATAGGAGATGTCGTCTATATCACCCCACAGGATGTGGCGACTGCGGTTGGGCCCGTGGATGCAGGCATTCCCAAGGTATCGACTCCCGATGTCGTTCTGGAAGTTGGCACCCCTCCGTCTGCCGAGGACGAGGCGCCGACAAGGAAGATGACCAAACCCGATGAGTTGTCAGAACAGAATGTCAAGGACCTCGAGATCCTCTCGAGGCTCGCCGCTGCCATTCACAAGGTTCGCATCCAAAAGGGAAGCGTGCCGATTTTCCTCCCTTCGCCCAGCGCTGATTTCTCGCTGGTGAATGCTCGGATCGAGCACACGCCAAGCGGCTTCCTCGCGTGCACAAACGACCCCTACATTTCCGTCAAATACTCCGTCAGCGGCGGCCTCCATCCCATCGTGGACGATCTCATGGGTACAGCCAACCAGATTGCCGCCCTGTGGTGCTACGAGCGTGGCATCCCCATCCCCTTCCGGACCAACCTTCTCGCCGCCCAGAACGAGGAAGCTCTCCACGCCTACACCCAGGACGTCATCTACCCGCAGCTGATAGCCGGCAAGCAGCCTTCGCTCGAGGAGATGCGCACGCTTCGCAACCTGCTGGGCGGCCACGACATTGCCGCCACGCCCACCTTCATCTATACTATGGGCGTAGACATCTACACCAAAGCCACCTCCCCGCTCCGCCGCTACTCGGACCTACTCGTCCACTGGCAGATCCAGGCCGCTCTGCTCGAGGAGCACAAGCGTCGTGCACAGGGTAGCCAGTCGCTCGTCATCCGCAAATTTGACAAGTACCACCTCAAGCCACCCATGGACGACAAGCAAGCCGCCCGCCTAGGTCTCCCCTTCACCGCCTCCCACCTTGAAAACAAGGTATTCCCACACCTGCGAGTGCGCGAGCGCCACGCCAAGACGCTGGCCAACATCGACGGTCGCAATGAGCTGATTCTGCAAGCACTCGTGCGCGCATGGCGATTCGGCGAGGGCAAGAAGGGTCAGGTGCCGGAGAAGTTTACGTACACAGTTGTCAACGTGCAGAACACGTGCGTGCGTGGCCGGATCGATTATTTTGATCTGTGGGCTGAGATTGATCTGGATAATCTCGCTGGGTTTAGCTTACTCAACAATATGAGGGTGGGAGATGTGTTGACTGTCAAATTGGCGGATGTGAATGTGCACATGAAGAAGATTGTGGTGAAGCCGGTGGAGTTCGTGCAGCGCGGACCGGAGAGGAGTAGGTTGTTTGCTGAGGAGCAGGAGGGGGAAGGTGAGGTGGAGAATGAAGGAGAGTATATTGATGTTGAGCATGAGGTGTTGCAGCCGGAGGGGAGGTGAAGAAACCTC